GAAACAAGTAAAAGCTGCATAGTTTGTTAAAAAAAGTAGTGTGTGTGTGTGTGTGTGTGTGTGTGTGTTCAGAATGATATGAGGAATATCACTAACTTCGAAAATTGAGAGGATTGATACCATTTTATAAAAACAATCTTGATTGAGTTACATGTTATCATAACTCATATATGTGACAACATGTAAATGAATGAAGATTGTTTTTATAAAATGGTAAACATTTTTATACTTGGTTTGGGATGAATTTCTAGCCACTCGACAGTACAGCCTATATAGATTTATCCCTGGAAATATATAAATAAATAAAAGGAATAGCTTCAAAACTATTATATAAATTACGTTAATTGTAAATAGGCAATCAAAATCAGCACTACGGTTATGAAAGAGAACCTTTTAACCAAGAAAAAGCCACTGTGATAAGACTGGGAATATCTCTTTGCACCATGAACAAGATGATAAACATTAATTTGAATTTGATGGACTCAATAGCTAAAATTTACAAGCTTCCAATCACACACCTCAAAATCAACCACTGTTTTCATGAACAAGATGGTAGAAGAAACTGGATTCAAAACAACCCTATTCAAGTTCCTTAAAACAGCTCCAAAGGACTTGTATAACTTCAATTTGTCACAGTGGAAATTGCAGTGTTCAGCAATAACCCTGGATATTAAATTGTTTATGACTGATAATGAGCAGCATGGATAACTCTTCTTATAATATTCAATTAGTCCTTAGTAAGTAATCAACATTCAATGCCTTGATTATAATAAACATTACAATTCTAAAGTTATGTCTGACAAAATGATTAAGCCAATAAAAATAAGATACTAACTGTTCCCCTGTTATTCTTCAAAATTCCAGAACACAATAGACTTTTGGCTTTCTGGATGAATGGATCTCTCTGAAAGAAAACTATTTGAATTAATGACATGAATGAGACGCGTGTTCTTATATTTGAATTAATGAAATGCATGAGATGTTTGTTCTTATATCTAATTATTACTAAAAAAAAAACACAACAGAGTAAATGGAAATTTTACTGCAATATAAACATTGTTGATAGAAGTTAAGCACTTAAAGTTTTAAAAACCCTTCCTTCCAAGAATCACACACTAAAAATATAATTTATACCTTGTCAGACCACAGAAGCAAGACTGAATATTAAGTTTACTAAATTTTGACACCACTATATGGCAGCACTCAGGCATTATGGTTATCTTTCTAAAGCTCAGCTTTATAGAACGTTTGCTAAAATCTCATTTCTCACAGAAATTTAACTATATTCATAGAATCTCTAGGTTATTTAATGTTTTGTCAAAACATTAACACGTTTTAAAGTTCAGGCATATCCATCATTAATTTAGAACTGCTGACATGGGATGGAAGGAAGTTGATTATAGTAAAAAATATTACATTAATGTATTAACTTATAAATAACATTTATAAAACAAGTAGCGCTTATATCTCAAAGTCACCAGAATGCAAGAAATTATCTTAATTACACACAGAAAAAACTTTCATCCAATAAAAATATTTAGTTATTTCCTACCTGCCTCTCCTCCAAAAAATCCAGCTTACTAACAATAAATTCACAATTGGCTTCTCCTGTTTTCCTGTCAACCAACTGGATAATGTTGTTAACTTGTTTTATCTAAATAAAAAACAAAGCAAAACTGTATCAAAAGTAATGGGCCAAATTAAATGTCAAGGTATGTAACTTTATACAAGAAAATGAAGTAAAATCCAACCAATTTATCAGACCTCGATATTCTGTTCAAAAACTGAGATATTATTAATTCCTATAGTGAAAATCTTTGCAAGAAGAAAAAAAGATATTCAAAATGCATTTTAAAATAATACATATTCAGCAGCAACTTTAAAATTATAGTACAGGTAGCTAATACGTGTAAATAAGGTATTGTTGGAAACTTTATGAATTTTGAATAGGAATTGTAATATTAAGCCTTTATATCTAATCTAGTAAAACACAACCCAGGACTTCAGAAAATGTATGTCAGCACTTCTCCTCCAGAGCTCACCATAGAATTAACTGGAATTCTACCTACACTAGTTGTTTATGAAACATCAAAGATCATGGTGTACAAATCAATATAGGATGACATAACTAATTATTATTATTAGTCCTAATTTTCATGTCGCACATGGTACTCTTTATTGAAAGATAACATACCAGCTAATGCCTCACTGTTAATACAATATTAAATTATCTAATAATAAACTGACCAGCACACACTTCCTCAATACTGTAAGCTGTAGATGATTGGTTCAGTTTCAATCTGTGGCACACACCAGTCTTTAGCACTTAAAGGAATTATTATATATTGTAATGTCCTTAATCACATTGAAAATACTTACGACGTCTGGTAAGCAGTCTCTGTCTTCATGACCTTGGGGTGTCTAAAACATAGGGAAATAATCCTATTTAACAAATAATATTTCTTAACAGTATTAAAATACTTGCTTACGTGTCTAAATGATTTTTAACACAAAACGAAGATTTGTTTTCATTAAATCACTGAATACTAATTCATCCCAAACTTCTGTTATACAATGATTTTCTTCACTAAATTGTTTAAGAAATTATGTTATTTACTAATTTAATCTATTATAAATTGATAAATTATTTGAAAATCAAACATCATATCTTTTCAAAGGGCGGTTATATATTTGACACAATTTACATTATTGTGCTGACGAAAGACGGTTCTTCTCAAAAACAGTCATTAGTAAGGACTGTTGTATCTAATGTGACATAATACACTTTATTTTACAATAGAAAAGGGGAAGAAAACATTAGTGCTAACTTTCTATTAATTAGAAAATCATTAGCATCAAACTTCTCTATCTATAAATTTATAAAACAAATGACCTATATCAAACCTTGTTACTTCATTGTTGAAAAAAAATATTTTCATATCAAAAAACATATTTAATACGGACGTCTTGGAATCTCCTTAAATTCCATCACCAGCATTAATATTTCAAGAAAAAAACTGTAGTTCATAATATTCAAACTAAAAAAAACAACATTAGCATTAAGCAAGTTTTCATATTCAATCGGAAGTTTAGAAAGAATGGTAACAATATAATGGAATATATGATAAAACGAAGGAAATACCGATTATATTGTTACAGATGTTTTTCGTTTTATCGTATATTACATTATATTGTTACAGATGTTTCGGTATTTCCTTCGTTTTATCGTGTATTACGTATATTACATTATATTGTTACAGATGTTTCGGTATTTCCGATAAAACGAAGGAAATTCCGAAACATCTGTATTAAAGATGTTCTTTGGTATTACTAAGTTTTTAATATTTATTATAAAACTTCGTTTTCCACTTGATTAATCAGTTGCAAATCTTGATGTCATGCTAAAAAAAAAAAAATTGTTCATTAATTTATTTCTAGAGGTATGAATGTAAAAAGTATTAAACTTATTCAGATGTGTTGTTATTAAAAAACAAACAAACACAGATTAGGTGTATTTTAGAGAATCAAAAACTTTAAAAACAATTTGATAATGTTACATTTTAATGTAAGTACAAGTTAATAAATCTAATCCTTACATGCTTAAGTATAGCTTTTAGTAACAATGGGTATTTCACCAGGCGGTTCCTAGGGACATCTGGATGAGAAAAACTCAAAATTAGAAAACAAACAAAAATGAACTGTCACACTGACTGCTTTAAATAATAGCTTCAATATAACAGACAAGTGAAAAATATTTAGTCAATGTACTGATTTCCATAACAATCTTAATCTAAAATGATGCTAATTTTATTAATCAAACAACATATTCACACAAGATTTACGCAAACACATCAGTCTTCAAGATAAACCTTCAATTCAAAATAAGTTGCTTATTCAGCAAAAATGACACTTTAATTTTGTAGATAACTAAACTTTAAAATAACTCATTCCAATATACCAGGCTCGACTGTAGATTCTGATATATGTTTAGGGTTAAGTACCAGATATCATTACAAACATGTTTATAAAGTAATAGCACACAAAGGTTCAGCTTGATCACCAGTTCACACGCACTTGCATGGATAAAAAGATCAAACGAAGGCTGCTTACCAAGGAAATTCCAAAGATCAAGTTTCCTGCTGAACGGTGATTCTAAACATCTTTGTAAAAAGTCATCAAATCTCCAATCGTGGGCCTTCTTCTCCTCCAGGAGAGCTTTTGCATAGATCTGGTTTGAACAATAAGACACATATGCTTCTAAGCCAGGACACTAGTAAAGAAAAGAAGAATATATACACATATATATACACAGGTTTCTAAGCTGGATCCATAAGTAAAAAATTCTAATCAGCCTTTCAGATTTTTAACATCTCGTAACCACACACACACAAAACTGTGATTTAACAAATGAGTATTTTTTATTTGTTTCATTTCCAATGTCTTGCTTTCCATTTTTTAATGGTTCAGATCCATTATTTCCTAGCACACTGCAATATCTTAAGATCTGGTGAATTTTCTCCAAAAACTATGTTAAACCATTACTCTCCGACCTAAAACATATTGTTCCACAAACCATTTAAATCCATTACCTTTTGACCTAAGACATTACAATATCATACTTACTGGTAAATGTTTTTAAAGAAATCATGTAGGCACATGAAGCCATTAACCTTTGACCTAGTACTTTGTAGTACCATAATGACTGGTAATGTTTGTTGAAGAAGCGATATAGGCACATGAAGTTATTAACCTTTGACCTAGTACTTTGTAGTACCATAATGACTGGTAATGTTTATTCAAGAAGCCATATAGGCACATGAAGCCATTAACCTTTGACCTAGTACTTTGTAGTACCATAATGACTGGTAATGTTTATTCAAGAAGCCATATAGGCACATGAAGCCATTAACATTTGACAGGATCTCCATCTTGTGTCAACTGAAAAAGGGGGAACTAAATATAAACAGACGGTTATCACCATTGGTATAGAGATACTCACTGGTTTTATATCAGAAAACATTGACATGGTTGCTTATCTTTATACTGAATTGAAAATATACCATAAGGGTTCTGATGGATCACTCGACGAGTCTTTAACAAACCTAAGTCTAAATACTTACTTGAGACTTATTTTATATATATATACTGTTTAATGAATACTTCAAAGGTAATAGAAGTACAGATTAGGCATAGTAAATGGTGCTTTACTTTTAAGATATATTTAATCACTGTAGTTGGCAAAATTAATATCAGAACTTTTCACAGGTTCTTTAAAAGGAACACAGTTAAATACAGTTTCTATAAAGTATAGCAAAGGTTTAGATTAACAAGTGTTTACATTGAAATTTTTTAAAGTTTACGTGATATAGATATGTTAGAAATTAGATGTACAGTTCAGGTTAAAATAATGTCATCAAGTTAATATGTTACGTGGATGCTAGGTATGAACTTTAATATATTTTTAGTCTTTTAAGAAATATTACTTTCTAAGTTTTGTAACTAAGAAAACATCTTGAAATACAGACCCACTTCTGTATAATCTGACCAATGGAAGTTATTGCCCCATCTTCTTTTCTCTGTTCTTTCAGTGAATCCAACAGAGCTACCAACAGAGAAAACAAAAATATACATTTTGTAAAATAACAGCAACTATAATGTTTTGCTACTACGAATGGAATATTATGTTAATATTTTTATATTTTACGACTTTTACTGAAAGAAAACGCACAGGTTGGGCCTATCATAAATGAGACTAGAAAGAAAAAATTTTTTATTCTAAAATTAGTAGGATGGAGGGATAGAAGAAGAATCAGAAACTAGAGTATTTGGAAAAGGAGGAAAATCTGCATTACTCATTCTGTAACTCCTAGGTGGAAGGCACTGTTTAGTCAACTTGTTCACTTCTATTCTATAGGGAGCCATAATATAAGTCATGACCTGCACCACGCAGTATCCATGACTTATACAGAAATAGATAATCTAGCGTATACCCCTTACTGACCTGGATACTGCGTGGTGCAGTAAGGGGTGTACGCTGGATTATCTATTTCTGTATAACGCACTTACTGATCAGAAGTCATGATTAGTACTTTGGGCTGAAACTAACCTATCGTGGATCACTTGCTGCTCTAGGTATGAAAAGGCACATCCCAGGTAATAGTGAAGTGTTTTGGGGTACAGGCTGGTTTATGAGTTACAGCTAACAGAGAAGAAAACTGGTGTTTTTGCTGTCCATTTTCTAGATGTCAGGAAAGGTTAGCCAAACTTTAGAGGCAGTTTTGTACTTGATTAGTGAAGGGTTTTTATTTTTCATCCCTGTCCCTTTGGCTGGGTTTTGCCAACTTTCTGGCGTAGGTACTACCATACACAATGTACAGGCTGCCATTTCTAAATGAACCCATCCCTATATAGGGATCACTACCACACTACCTGATATGAGCTAATGGCTAAAATATAAAATAAGCAATCAGCTTCCATTCCACTACACAAGAATAAATGTTCTAAACAGACTTCCATAACCATGTGTTCCTTACTTCCATAATCGTGTGTCCCTTACTTCCATAATCGTGTGTCCCTTACTTCCATAATCGTGTGTCCCTTACTTCCATAACCGTGTGTCCCTTACTTCCATAACCGTGTGTCCCTTACTTCCATAACCGTGTGTCCCTTACTTCCATAACCGTGTGTCCCTTACTTCCATAACCGTGTGTCCCTTACTTCCATAACCGTGTGTCCTTTACTTCCATAACTGTGTGTCCCTTACTTCCATAACCGTGTGTCCCTTATTCAGCTGGAACATCTTGTACCACTCAATCCTTGCTACTTAAGCAGTGAAGTTTGTTATGGTCTTTTAAATCCAGGTGATGTGTAAGTCTTTTAAATCCAGGTGATGTGTAAGTCTTTTAAATCCAGGTGATGTGTAGGTCTTTTAAATCCAGGTGATGTGTAAGTCTTTTAAATCCAGGTGATGTGTAGGTCTTTTAAATCCAGGTGATGTGTAGGTCTTTTAAATCCAGGTGATGTGTAGGTCTTTTAAATCCAGGTGATGTGTAGGTCTTTTAAATCCAG